ATATCATGGCGATGGGGAGGGGGGCAGGAAAATTACTTAGTCCAATTCTTCCACTTGCTCGAATACTCGTATAGTCAAAACCACAAGTATTACGACTGAAGTAAAATGGCTCCATCCAAATTACAATACTCATTCTCCAAGTTTTAAAGTTGGTTTTACTCACAGATTTTTTGTTTATATCGATCCGGATTGTGCTCAATTTCGAACATGCAGAAAATCTGAATAACAACACAACTAAATCACTAAATATTAACAAAACGACTTCTCCCCCCTTGCGGGCTGGCCCAGTCGGGCTAAGTCAGATTCAGTAATAGTAAATCTTCTAAAAAGTAAATAAACCAAAATATAAAAAAATCACTGAAAATGGCCAGATCAAGCCAGTGAAGATATGCAAACCAAGATGGTCGGTAAAGATGCAACTACAGGTTCAAAACCATAGGATATCCACTAGACTTAAAAAAGGACTTCGAGTCAGGCTGAGTCAGGGAATGCCGAGTTTCCGAACCTGCAGAGGCCTAAATCGAACGACAGCAGTGAACAGTAATACTGTTTTATTTTGATATTTAGGAAAATTGAAAATTTAGAGTGGAAGAGGAAGGAGGAATGTTTGCTACTCGTAAAGGGGTTAACAAGGAACGAACCATGAAAATATTATCTTCGCCCATAATATTTACAAAATTAAAAGAAACAAAATGTTACAAACAAAACCAATTTTTAATGCGGCTACAAGAATCATTATATTCAATGAAAATATTACTTCACATTTCCCGTTTTATGTGCTTCTAAGAATTAAACTGATATTTAATTTGATAATAGAAGAAATCAAAGTCAGAGTAATATTTAGTAGAAACAGAAAAAAAAGAACGTTTTATAAAAAATATTCATTTACCCTATTTTCCGCCCGGTGTAATTGTAACACTTTACTACCCTTAGCAGCAAAGTGTTATCTAGATTTTCTCATACAATCAGATACGAGAGGGACACATCGTTTTTTTGTGTTTTCATAATGGCCGTAATGGCGAGTTTCCTGATTTCAAGTTTTAACCATAGAAATTTTTATCCGTCGGAACCACTCTGTTCATCTAAGAGCGCAGTGCAAAAACTACATATGAACCACTTTATATGCGTTCTCTAGTTACGGAGGATCGTGCATATCCATAAAACGCTGACTAAAAAAAATGTTTCCTATACAACTCTCATCTGAGAGTTCATTTCAACACGGTTTTTCTCGGATGACTCTATGATGAAGTGGTTCCTTGGTATTACAACTAATCAAGCGGTTTTAAGCTTCTAAACGGACGGAGAGAATTATAATTTTTATAGTCTTATCCTAGCTTCATAGAATTTACACAAAAAGCTATCTCTACTTTTTTATTATGAGTTCAAAATTAAACCACCACTAGATAAAGTAATTGTAGCTTTATATAGCTGTGAAGTTTTATAAAACACTCGGTCTTTTATGTTTTAATGATGTCCATTTTTTCCGTAAAAATTAAGTACGGAAAAGCCATTTTTCACGCAGAGTCTGCTAGTATTGGAATTTTTATCAGCTTATGCCTTAACATTTCGAACGTCTTTCCTTTTCTAAGAAAATTATACAAAAAATTCGTCCATTCGTTTACGATATATAGAAATTGTTCTTCAAACCTTCGTAATTTCTATTTAACGATTAATTGGTTTTTGTTTACAATAGCATTATTGAAACATTCATTTAGCTGAGTTGGTCAACTGTCTTCAGATAAATGTTATCTTTGGTTTTATTAATAGCGTGTGAAATATAGAGTGAATTATAAATAATAATTCGATAGTTTTCGTGGTCCGCTTGACCAACTAATATCTTTCAATTAATTAAGGTTTTTAGTTGAGATAAAAAAGGCAGTGTCACGAGCGGGATTCGAACCAACGACCTTCGGCTAGATACGCCGCTACTCTAACCTTCCAGCTATCGTAACTTCGATCCACTGAATTTAAAAATGGCAAAAAGGAGAGAAAATTCAGAAGGGGGGGGGGTTGAGATGGGAAGTTAGTGACCGAGTGGATCAGGTCACGATAGCTCAAGTGGTACAATAGCGGCGTAGCCGAAGGTCGTGGGTTCGAATCCCGCTCGTGAAACTCACTTTTTTATCTCGACTAAAAACCTTAATTAATAAATAATAATCTTAAGTGTAAAACTGATATAATGACAATTACTGTCTTATTGTATGACCGGTACATGTACTCTTCTCAAAACTGATAGACATCAATTTAATCCAATTCTCATTTGTTTTTCAAATGTCTACCAGTAACAAGCTAAGAAAAGGTATCAGCGAAGATTAGGTTTAGAAAGGAAAAGAAGAAAAAGAAAGAAAGCGTTGTCAAGGCAATTCTACAATTAACCACGTAATAGTTGAGAGTTAAAGGAAAGTCTGGTGCAAAAGGGTGACGGGTGGATCGGGGAAGACAACCCGTGACAAATGTCCTTCCCAGGTCGACATCGTGCCGTACCCGGACTCAAACTAAATAGCTTGTGAAACTAAGTCAGAATAACTTTAACAGCATAAACATGTGATTGTTGCGAACGGAGTTTACCTAACAGATTTATGCCTAAAAATACGAGTTGAGCTGTGATGAATAACTCAAATTATAGGTTTAAAAGTTTGAATAAGTAAGCTTTAAAAAAACTTCACTATAATTACTTCAAACTTTATAAAATTATAGGTGATTTTTAAATCTTGATTGATTTTATTGCTTGTTGCAAGTAGAGGGCAGGATTTTACAGTGACCCTTAAGCTTTCACTATTTGTGCAATACTTCAATAAACCCGTCAGCAATAATTTTTTTATAAACTCAATTACATACTTTTCCGAAATTCCTCTTTATTTATTTCATGCTTTAAGACCGTAGTATTCGAGAACTAATTCTCATTACAGTTTTGGGAAATTTTTATTCATTTTTGTTGCCAAGAATAAAACAACGATTTTTACCACAAGTGTTTCAAATTTATTTTTCTTCGTTTCAGGATAAATTTCTATATAACTATTAGTTTTCAAGTGTTTTTTTTTTACCTTGGAAAAATAATGTATGTCGTAATTGTGGGGAATTGATTTATCGTATTTGTGTGTTAGTGTGATTTTGTCATTTACTATGAAAACATCTGTAATATGTTTTGATGGATGAAAAACTGTTGGCATGTGAAAATCTCTGTGAAGTGTGTTAGTTAAAAGGGGCAGAAACAATTACTTTTAAAATTTTTGATTTAAAACTTTATACTCTTTGAATATTGGAATATATGATCTATAAACTTGGCACCGGTACATCCAAATATGTGGGAGCAAGTATGTGTATGTCAAAAGTTTTGATTTTAATGGTAATGATTATTATTCAGAAATCGTGAGATACGGTCTGGTGTGACGTAGGTTTCAGAAAAACATTTTCTTTATGGTGCCAACGTTTCGATCTTTATTGAGATCATCTTCAGGGCTCAAAGTGTTTGATTTCTGCATAATTGTGTCATTCTTGTGTGTCGTGTTGAGAGTGAAAAACGTTGGTACGATAAAGAAAATATGTTTTTCTGAAACCTACATCATACCAGACCGCATCTCACGATTGCTGAATAATCATCGGGTAATGATTATTTGGAGATCGTGAGGTCTGGTGTGACGTAGGTTTTAGAAAAAGATTTTCTTTATCATGCCAACGTTTCGAACTTTATTGAGATCATCTTCAGTTGATGTGTTGACAATCAATACGACACACAAGCATGAAAAATCTACTCTTTGAGCCCTGAAGGTGATCTCAATAAAGATCGAAACGTTGGCATGATAAAGAAAATGTTTTTCTAAAAACCTACATCAAACCAGACCGCACCTCACGATCTCTAAATAATCATTGGCTAACGGTCACTAAACACCACATATTTAATGGCAATTTTGTTTGGCGGTTAAGTAGGCAATAAAGATACATATACTACATAAATACTATATTTCATATATTTTGTTTTTTCATAACCTACCCCTCAATTCTTCCAACCTTAATCCTAACCTAACCTAACCAAACCCTTACCTAACATATCCTAAACTAGCCTATCCCATCTCTGAAATTTAGTCTAACCGAACCTAACTATGACCTATCTTAACCATTCTTCTTTTACCCTACCTCTAAAGCTGTCTACTCTAAGGCTAATGAAAATAGAGAGAAATGGCTTGTCGCTGAATCACTAATCAGTTGTTAACTCACTAGTGACGCGAAACTGCTAAAAAACGATCAAAACAGTATTTCATCAGTGAAATCGTAGAAGGAAGGATCAAGCGATGAAACTGTCACAATACTGCAGTCTCACCGATAGAGAAGAGAAAGAATACGTAGAAGAATTTACGTTTTTCCAAATTCTTGCCTCGCCTTTTCAGTGACCTCTCTCTTCCAGTATCCCGAAGCGTAAAGTTGTATAAAACAGGAGGTTTTCCACTTCTATTACGTCGTCCATCTTGAAAATAACCCGAAACCGAGCAACCTCAGCTACTAGCGGCTAGGCAGTCGAGTTGTTTGAAAATGATAAATAACGCGCCAGTAGTCATTGATCGGTCTGCGGTTTTACTCTGGAAGTGACTAATTGCGTAATGGAGAGCTAGTCGAGTCAGTACTCAGTTTCTTTTAAGTAGCTCGGTGTGTAGACGGCCTAACTTGGAACCCCCAGAAAGCAAGCAGTCTATTTCATTTTTCCTTTTATAAATAAAGAAATTATTGTTGAAATATTATTGTTAATTAATAATTTGCTAGCGTGTTTTTTACAAAACAAACATAATGAGAAATTTATACGCATGAATACTACTACTAATAATAATAAATAATTTTTACTTTCAAAATTCATGATTTTCTCAAAACTTATTTATATAAACGTATACATCACTCAAAAATTAAGTAAGATTAAATGGTAATCCTATTGATTAATATGTTATTATAGACAAGCAATTAAACATTCAAAAGTATTAGAAAATTATTAATTATGCAATAGGGTACATTACCTATGTTGGCAACACGACAAGGCAACGTCACGGTGTCAGTTTGAACAACTTTGATGTGACGCCCTTCGGTGATAAACCTCGCAGAATTGTCCAACGCTCCTGGAAAGATAAAACAGAATAGTTAACTAATCTGCGTCAATCCGTTACTTGTCGGGAAAGCTTTGAAGAAGCGTTGTTAAATGAATTTTGCATTTTCCAGCCGGCCTTTGTCTGATCACACACACCCAAACACACACATACAAAAAAAACTTCATCCCTTCAATCGGGTACGATTTTTTAAATCATTTAGCGATGGCGTAAGCTGTGGAAAAAAAAGAAAACGAAAATTTGATTTTACTTTGGATTTAATATCTTTAGCTGAGTTTGTCTATACACTCGAGATATTTTTTAGTTTCCCCTACCCAGTTTTATTGCTAGATTTTTTTTTAAATTGATCACAATATGAAACCATATTCTGTAGAAAACACAGAACTTCTAATATAAAAAAGTGTAATGATTACATATATTATGTAAATTTAAGTTTTATAATAAAACAAATATGATTGATATGTTGATCAATGAATAATCTTTTATCTAACTCTATTTGTTTTTAGAATAAAGTACATTAGATATTATATACTATATTATGCAAACCACATTAGGACGTTAAACCTTAAAACAAAACCTTAAACCTTTTATAAGGACGTTAAACCTTCCTGTAACACAGGAATAAATAACTTCTGCTTTATACTCTTTTCAAATAACAAATAATAAAATCTGTCCATTTTTTGGAAACGCTAAGCAGACGTCATTTGATGCAAATGGACCGGAACCTAGAAGATCTAAAAGAATTCTTCTAATTAATTAATTCTTTACACTCTAGATTATTCTCTATTAATTATTCTTTTTGTGCAAGGTCTTGGTTGAGATGAAAAAAGCAGTGATCTTCGGCTCAATACGCCGGTGCTCTAACCACTTGAGCTATTGTGATAGTATGATCTCTAAAGCGGGGAACACACCCGTTGGAGCGTTATGCGACACTACCCGATGCTACCCAACGCAAATCCAATTTTCCATAAGATTGTATTTCCCCCGAGCACGTTTGTCCGATGCTATGCAACGCAACCCTACGCTCTGCGAGATTTTCGTCGGGTCTCATCGAGAACAGTCGAAGACAAAAGAACCGGACTCTCATACTTTTATTCAAACTGCATGTATTATTGAGGTTATATCAGTTACAACATACTTATTTTAATATAAATCAAATTAACCGAGTTCCAAAATTCATTAGTTTTTATTTTTAAAAAAAATAATAATAATTTTAATGGTTTGGGAGAAAATTGATCAAAACACTGGAATATCATTTTTTGAATTTAACTAACAATTTATTACACGGTTTTGCTCATAACATTACACCTTTTTCGAGTAGCGTCAGAACAGGTCACTCATATTTTTTGTAGCTTATTTCAAACTATATATATGTAATTTTGTCGTTATATTAATTACAACATTCTTATTTTAGTGTAAAGCAAATTAAACGAGAATAAAAATGCATGAGTTTTTATAACAATTATTTAATTATTATGGCTAGGAAGAAAATTTATCAAAACACCGGAATAATTTTATTTAAAACAATTAAGTTTAACAAACAATATATTACATGACTTTGCTCATAAAATTTAACTAACAATTACAAGGTTTTACTCAAAATAGTTCATTAAGAACAAAAGAAGCGATGCGATTGTAATAGTGATTATTGTGATACACGCTGTGTGACTGTACTTGGCGTGCGCTTGGCACATGTGCACACCCTATCAAAACGTGACAAGGCGTCAGGTAGCATCGGATAGCGCCGCATAGCTTTGCATCGGGTAAATGTGTTCCCCGCTTAACAAGTGCTAACAAGTCAGAGCAGCGGCTTATTGAGCCGAAGATTGTGGGTTCGAATCCCGCTCGTGACACTAGCTTTTTCATCTCAACCAAGGCCTTGGATAAAAATAATAATTAATTGATATAATAGACCGCTAAACATATATGGTCTAGTATGAATTTTATATTCGACATAAATAAAGATAGTTGTTGAAACATTTTAGACTTTAAACTGTCCATAATAAATAACCTAATTGAAACAGATGTACATAGAAAACCCACAACAAAACACCATGATACCAGCACGTTTTCTCACCCATGAACCCCAAAAATAATTATAAATAATTAAAACCTTTGCAATGTATATCAAACAGTAATGTATATCATGAAATATTTATCGATAGGTTGCTAGTAAAAAGAAAAAAAATAGCTGTTAAAAAAGCGTCAAGACAGCAAGACCCACCCCTTCAAAAATGAATCTTTTTTTGATTTTTTAGAGATCGATCGAGAATTCCTAAACCCACCTCACACCAGACCGCTTCTCACGATCTCTAAATAATCATTAACTAACGGTCACTACATAACACACATATGTTTTTGTTGCTTGCCATAAATTGGTGAACTATCCGAGAAAGCAGGTAAAATTATTCAACGAGAAGGTTTTCGTACAGCTTTTAGAGGTGCATGTTCACTTAGAAACATCCTCTCAAAACCTAAAGTGATAACTTGTTGACAACTTGTCAAAAACTTAATTGTAATGATTGCTGTATTAAATAGATAGGACAAAGCGGCAAAGAAATTAAAACGGAAGGTAAAGAACACTCGCCTAAATACATTTTTTTAAAGTTATGGATCACCTAAATGAAACAAAACACAATTTAAATACTACAGTGTTACACAGTTTCAACAAAGGTTGGGAACAATATTGGTTTGAGAAATTTGAAATAAAAAAATATAAAATTAAGCATGGAGATATATATATGTATAAATAATACAACATATTTTGATTTACCTCCTATTTTAAACATATACCTAAATAATATTTGACATACAAATTAATCAATAATTTAAAGTTATTTTCTTACAGTATTTAATTGGATAATATTTAGTTTTGTTGTCTATCCGCCTTTTTCGGGAGATCAAATTTGATCGGCTTGAAGTACAAGCTGCCCGTTGGAATGTCGCGTTGGCGTAACTGATGATGAGCGTTTAATGCTCGAAATAAAAATAGTTGTAAACAACAAATCTGTTAGTAAAAGAGTAAAACCATCATTTACAAAAAGTAAAAAAAAAAAAGGGGGATTTGCTTTACATTTTTTAAAGTAAACAACATAATTAATTTACAGTTATCAAAGTAGGTCTTCAACTTTTGTATGTTATATGTTACTTGGCGCTAAATTAATTTCTATTCTTAATTTTGATGTTTAAAACCGTATGCCAAAAATTACCCTTATTGAAGGTTAATAAAAACACAATTATGATCACTGATTAGAATGTTTTAGGTGCAGACAAGTGCGATTATGGTTAAACTTACCATAATCTCGGACACGAGGTGGGATTTGTAGTAATTTCGCCCTGAAAATCCCTAGCTGTGGTAATTACACGAGTTTAGATGAAATCCTAAATGTTAATTATTTTCACATCAGGTTTAACAAATTGCACATAGTCGAAAACAAAAGAGAAATTATTTCACTTTTACAAAATAATTGACTTGTTAACCCTTCACAAAATGTGTAAAATTTTAACCGTTATTAGTTTCGCCTTAGAATAATCCGATTTTAATGCGGCTTATGACTTTTTCATCTATGTTTTATGCTAACTAACTTTTTAAGCCGTGATTTGTTTTAAATGCCTTCATAAAGAAGAAGACCTGTGCCCTTGACGGGGTGACTAATGAGCCCTTCCTACATTTTACTCCTCTGTGCATAACGGAAGTGGAAAACTCGTTTATAAGGAGTGTTTTTTTCCCTAGCCGGAATCGAAATGAATTAGTCGGCGGAGAGGAAAATTCAGACAATTTAATATTCAATTACGCTAAATGAGCTATGAATAGAAAATTGAGCTCCATTAATTGACGGAAAAGCGGAAAAGGAATCAGAGTGAAAGACATTAGGAGAAAGCTGTTGAAGTACGAGTTGAAACGTAATCCTCTTTTAATTGAAATGTATTGTAATTAAATTGAGATGTCATACACTTTCATAATATATGGTGTACAAGTAATGTAGCATTTGCATAATCAAATGTTATTTTACCCTTAGACTTAACTCCTACCGATGAAATAATTTCGTTATTCCTGTAGAATCCTATGATTAATTAATTTGTATTCTTTCGCAAATCTCACCTCAAAGTTTAGATTCAAATATTTTGAATTACTCGTATACTTACGACTTACTTAAAGTACATGACGTGTATTTATTATCAGTTAATATTATTATATTGCCTTATTTATCACTTACAAATGTCTGAACTGATCGTGGTTACTTTCAAGAATGAAAAATCTACCGATGAAGTTTTTGTTGTCTCCATAAAAATGGTATAATTAATTATACACTTTTATCTTATTTTTGAAAGAAGAATTTTCATTTGTTTTGAATAATCATAAGCTTAAAATATCGGAAAACATTGACTTATCATATGGGTATTGTCATTTATTGTCCAAAACATTTAACACAGTATACAAAATTCTCATTTATAATTATTTATATTTATTATAGCAATTTGATTTACATTTTAGTATTTGAAAGAAAAATTGTTTCGAGTCTGCAACATTCTTATTTATTTATTTTTTACGAGGGTTCGCAACATCAGAGGTCGTATAAACCCTCAGGGTCCCGGTGTTTTTTGAAAAAAGCCCATTTGTAAGTATGCCAAGTTCGAATGCAGGGCCGCTGGATTAGAACCGGGGACCTTTACCTTACAGTACGGCCACCGACATCCCCCGTCTATTGTTCAATATCTTCTATTATTTTGAGTACAACGTTAAGCTTAAAGCATTGTATCTTATCTCAGAGTATAGTTAAGAAATCTCGTATATATATCCTTATCTTTTTTTCTTCCAGGAGTAGGTATATCTGACTGTCTTCGTATCAACAGAAATGGCTCAATTTTTTTTTGTTCTTGCTGACAACATATAATACACATTCACATTTCTGCTGCTCCGGTTTTATACATATGCCTCTAGAGCCTGCAGTATCCCGTCAGCAGTCTTACTATCATTTCAGTTCCTGTTTCCTAACGTAGGTTTAGTAATT